AAAAAAATTCATAAACGCCTTGTGATAAGTAATTAATGTGTTTTTTTTGTTTTTTTTTAACTAGATTTTTAGTACACCCAGATATCATCCCAAAAGCCAACCATTTGTGGACCATGTGTTTACTTTCACCATTTTGGATAACAGAATATGGTTTCGGAACTTTCAGGTTAGCTTTACTTTGCTTTTAAATTATAGATTTAAGTAAGATATGTGGGATCATTTGTAGACATAGAAAATGCAACCTGTAAGTCCTTTTGTTTTAAATAGCCTTATTTCCTTCTCAGAGGTTTACTGCAAATAAATAATTGTCTATTACTCATATTTTAAGTGATCTCTGTCTTCGTCTTTTCATGATCATGAGTTAATATGGAGTGCAGGTTTGTTCACAAGCCATGGTATGTTTCATTTTTATAAAAAGRAAAATCTTGCTGGGTGCAGTGGCACACGCCTATAATCCCAATGGCTTGGGAGGCCCAGGCAGGAGGATCACAAGTTCAAAGTCAGCCTCWGCAAAAAAGTGAGGCGCTAAGCAACTSAGTGAGACCCTGTCTCTAAATAAAATACAAAATAAGGCTGGGGAGGTGGCTCAGTGGCCTAGTGCACCTGAGTTCAATACCCAGTACTGCACTAAAAAAAAAAGGAAAATCTCTGGTGTAATTAGGGTTCCAAATTTTTGCTGAAGAATTTATGTAAAGAATACAAGAAAATATGTTTTTCTTCCAAAGGTTACTATCTATCCAGGGGGCAAGGAGGAGTTAAGACAGACAAACATGACTTCTGTAGAAAGCATTCAATGAGAACTATTAGATGAGTCAAACTGTGACTCATTCAGAAGAGGTGATTCTTGAAATCTTGAAGCAGAARTTTGGTAGAATAAGTCTGCAGAAAGATGGAGAAGTGAATGACAGCAGCAAGAACAAAATTTGACACAGCATATGGACTCTCTTACCTGTGTGTTTTATATAAGAYTCCTTGCAATATGAATTAACAATATAGTTAATTCATTCTTAACCTCTGAGGGCAGACATACCTGAACCAACATACAGTGTTAATGTTTGTGAAAAGCAAGATGTGAAACAAATTCAGATTAGTCAACTTTTTTTTCTTTTTTTTTTGGTATTAGGTTTAAACCCAGAGGTGCTTAACCACTGAGCCCTATCCCCAAGTGTTGTTTTTTTTATCCTCGTTTTGTTTTTGAGRCAGGGTCTTGGTAAGTTGCATTGGGCTGGCTTTGAACTTGTGATCCTTCTGCCTCAGCCTCCTGGGCCRATGAGATTATAGGCATGCCACTGCTTCCAGCAGATTAGTCAATTTTTAAAGATCATATTGAGAAAACATACGTATTTTTCCAGAACAACCTCCTCTAACTAGTAATAGATTCACAAAATATTGATGATTTGGCACTTGCCGAGTTTTCTCCATGTCTCTACCTTAATTTTACTGAGTATCAGTTGTTTTAGMACATTTGTAATGAGGGTATAACCAGTTTTGAGTTGTATATCCAAACCAAAATKAATCTTTCCCTTCTGTTAAAGATCATAGAAGAAGATGCTGCTCTTGTAGAAATAGGACCTCGTTTTGTCTTGAATCTTATAAAGATTTTTCAAGGAAGTTTTGGAGGACCAACTTTATATGAAAATCCTCACTACCAGTCACCAAACATGGTAAGCTTTTTTGTTGTTGTTTAGTGGTCTTCAATGTACCAGAACTCTGTGACCAAAATAATTTCTTAAAGTAATTATTAAAACTGTGAAACCAGGTTTRGTTTTTGTTATGTATATACCTGTGAATTACTACCTTTTCTCATGACACTGGGTGAAGGAACAGAGTTCCTAAGTGAATGTCTGCCTTATATAAAATGTTTATTACAAAACCACCTTATCTTCCTTATCTTCGTTGTTTCTAGCATCGKCGTATCATAAGATCTATCACAGCTGCAAAATACAAAGAGAAACAGCAAGTGAAAGATGTGCAGAAACTTCGAAAGAAAGAGCCAAAGACTATTCTTCCACATGATCCCACTGAAGATGTTTTTGTTACACCAGCTGAGAAAAAACCAATAGAAATACAGTGGGTAAAACCAGAGCCAAAAGTCGATTTGAAAGCAAGGAAAAAAAGGATTTACAAAAGGCAAAGAAAAATGAACCAGAAGGTGAACAGTGGGAATGCAAAATGAATCAATGGATAAAGATTTGCTTTTCAGTTGTTGTGTATTTATTTTGTATTGAGTATGTAAATACTTTTATCTAGAACTACCTTTTGTCTAATTAGTGTACCATTTAAAAGAAAAAAAAATCTTAAAAATCAGTGATGCTTATCATTTTCTAAATAAAACATCACCAGAACTCATCAGTTAACTTTTGTTTTTCTTGTCAGCTTGTTTGATATTACTGAAAATTTAGTATGCTCAATGGTTTAGGATTGTTTTCTTGGGTTAGAATTTTTAGTTTAGCAACACTGAAATTCAATTTATTTATTGGGTTCTTACTACATACAAAGGCTTTGRGCTCTTTGGGAGCATAGTTGAGCTAAGAAGTAAAATAGGGATACCCTGGTAGATAGCAAAGCATCTTAACTGAGCTTTGGCTCCTAGAGTCACCAATTAATGAAGCCTTGGAAAAATTAAACCTCTGATCTTTTTCTCACCTCAAAAGARAATTCATTAAAATTTTTAAGTTTTGAGAATCAAGTGAGTTAATACCTATGTTGAAAGCACTTTGTATACTACAATTTTGTTTTAGAAGCAATGGGTATAGATTATTTTTAAAACATAGTCTTGCTAGGTGTAATAGTACATGTGTGTAATCCAAGCAATTTGGGAGGCTGAAGCAGGAGGATYGAAAATTAGAGACAAACCTTACCAACTTAGACCCCATCTAAAAATAAGAAAGACTGGTARACTGCCTCTGGATTCAATCCCCTGAACTGCAAAAAACAAAAAGAAGAAAAAGTCAAGTACCAGAACATTTCTGGGCTTAAGATCTTAGAGACAGATTAGTAATGGGAAAAAAAGTGTCTTCCAGTGACCATGGGACAGACAGAAATATTTGTAATACATATACATTTTATAAARTTGAGTCATGTACATGCTGTCATCAATTTATTGGCTTCACATTGGTCATTTTCCCATGTTTATGTGTTTCCYAACTGCATATTTGTACTTTATACCATAGCTATATAATCTGATCAGTATGGTTGGCCCTTTATTGTTGAATATTTCAGTTTTATTACTTTTTCTGATTCAGGTGCTTACAGTGAATATTTCTACACATTAAGTGATGGTTTTTTAGAAATGGGACTCAAGTCAAACATTTTAAACAATATTTTGCTTGATAGAACATTCATTTCATTGCATCTTTTGCCAATGGTGAGATAATGTCAGGAAAAAAAGGTTTGGTTTTAAAATTTAGTTTTTCTTTTGTGACTAGACTTGTTTTTCTGTAGTAAGGTTATCTTCTACTGATTTCTAAAAGTTCTTATATAGTAAAGTTATTTTAGACTTCTGTCCTATATTATATTTTAATTATAYCTTATTTTGAATCTTTGGAAAGAACTATTAATCTTCCATTATTTAATTTTTAATTTTCTGCTAAAGATCTTAGATGTATGTTAACTATGTTACTTATCTTGAAATAGTCTAAATTAGACTAGTTATACAAGTAATTCAGTTCAGAGGTTCACTTSTGTGGTTAATTAAGTCCAAATCTAGTTAAATGCAAAAAACAAGGTGGCCATTGGTTTATTTAGGCAATTATGGATAGCCTTGGATTAAAAAAATGAGACAAACTATTCAGGATTGTTAAATACCCACATCTCAGAAAAAGGTTGATCTTAAAACAAACTAACAATTTGCCAGTTTGAAGACACCTTTTTGAGAGATGCATTGTGGAGTTCAGGTAGAATCTCCAACCTCATATTTGTAAATGATCAATTTCCATATGGAAATGTTTTTATGCCCTGAATTTTCACAATGATTTTTATGGATACCTTATCTGAGTGAACTCTGGAATGGATCATCTCCCAAATCCATGTTCATTTAGAAGTTAATCTATTATTTTCTTAAGACTGAAATTTATATTCAGGGTCATTGTCTTTAAAATTTCTAAACATTGTTATAGGCAAAAATAGGTCTCCTCTCAGAAGGGAAAAAAAAAGCAAGTGACTTCCAGATTTTGTACATGAAGGCAGATATAGTGGGAATAAAAAGAACCTCTCCACCAAATCCATTCACAGGAGGGGAAAGGTCCCATGTTTCTTCAAACCTTATTAAATTGGAATTTTTTTTTTTATAGATCTTCCATCAATGCAGAGCAGTTAGCTAGTCAGATAACCCAAACCTTGTTRATTAAAAATCATCCCATAATTGCTTTCTTAATCTAAACCAATCTGGCAAGTAGGATGAAGCCAGACAGGATTAAAGTAATGGATGGATAGATCAGCACAATTCCATGTGTATTGGTTATTTTAAATGTGTTGATGTTTTCTTCTTAAATTGTTTGATAAGCTGATTTATACAATCTTCTTTAATGTCATTTCTCATGTATATTGGTCAAAGTGAGTGGTAGCATAGGTTTTACCAAGTGGCAGCTGCCAAGAAGTGAATGTAGTCCAATGAATCCTGCCATTACATAGAGAAGGAGACTTGAGCCAACCTCTTGACTACTCGGAGCCCCATTTGCCTCATCTATTACAAAGGGGACTTAGTTGAGAAATAATCTGAACCCCAAGATATTTTCGAGAATCCTTCCCATACCAACCTTGTCTCCCTCCCGCCTCAGCCCTCAAGCGGGCTGTTGTCCAGYCAGTGTCACTCACCGACTGCGGTTTGTGCCGCTCACAATGACACCCGCCGTGGCCCCGCCCACTGCCCGGAGGCCCCGCCTCCCACTCCTTCAGAGCCCCTGCGAAGCCCCGCCTCCCTCCCCSCGGCTCTTCCCGGAATAGAGCCCAGCCCCCGCCCATGCGGAGCCGCGGCCGCCGGCGCCGCCCCCTCTGCGCGCCCGCGTGCCGCAGCCCGCGTCGCCTACCGCCGCCGCGTGCCTCCGCTGCCCCGCGCCGCTGCCGCCGCCGCCGCCACGCTCGCTGGCTGGCCGGGTGCGGGCGCCGGGCTCCCGCCGGAGGAGAGGACAACCAGCGCCGCCGCCGCCGCTCGGGTCCGGGCCCGGGTCCCGGCCCCGGCCCCGTCCCGGGCCCCGGCCACAACCCCTTGCCGGGCCCGGCCATGAAGTGTCACTACGAGGCGCTGGGGGTGCGGCGCGACGCCAGYGAGGAGGAGCTCAAGAAGGCCTATCGGAAGCTGGCCCTGAAATGGCACCCGGGTAGGTTACCGCCCCGCAACCGCCGCGGCGCTGGGAAAAGCCCGGGCGACCTTTCTCACCCCGTCCCGCGTGACACCGGGAGGCTGGCGGGCGCGACCTACCTGCYGCTGGGCCAGGTGGCAGCGCGCAGTCTGCCCATCCTGCGGTGGACGCCCCTCTCCTTCCCGCATTGCCCGTGTTTGGGAAGCCCACACTCTGGCGACTTTACCTGCCCTCTCGCAGGTTCTGCTCAGAACCTCTGGGTTCTGCCCTGCCCTGGAAGGAGTCGGCCTGGCAAGCCTCCGCCCTGCCGGTCCTGCTGGCCCAGCCTCCGGCGATCCTCCCTCAGCTGCCCTGAACTCGGCTGGGGAACCCCAGCTGCTTAGAGCTCACCTAGGGCTCCTTTCTTCCTGAAGTGAAGACCAGGGAGCCAGTAGGGTGTCTTAGAAAGGGATGCCTGTGTTTTTTCTTTTAGTGGGCTGCTTAAACACACCCTGTGAATTGGACATTTGTCTTCAGATGAAGAGTTCTAATCAGGTGTCTTCCATAATGAAGTTTTTGTATGTTCACTTTGACATGCGCCTTCTTTGGATATTTTGTTTGTATCCAGGCCTGTGCGACTTTTCTGAAGTAATCTGATCTTCCAGACTGGGTCACTAAGACCATAGTTGAATCTCCGCTTTTGGGGAGTTTTAATAAGAGGCTTTTATTTTAACCATTARTTAATAAACAGACTTTCCAATATATGCAAGTCACCGCACTGTGTAACACGTAGATTATGAAATGCCACGGCAGGAATTTCACAGTCTAGTTGGGAAAACATTCCTCACACACATTAAGAGTTAACTACAAGTGCAAAGAAAAAATAGCACAACATAAGTAACAGAAAAACTAGTAAATGCCCAGAAACTCAAGGARGGAGTTATCACTATGTACTGATAGATGCTGAGGTTTTCCCTCTTTATAGAAACTTGGATTGGGTCCTGGAAGAATGGAATGAATGTGGAAAAATGAACTAACAAGGATGGGAAGAACTTTGGTGGTGGGCAAAAGATCTTCCAGCAAGGGGTTTAGCAAAGGCAGTGTTTATAGAAAGAAGGAAAAATAAGGATTGGTAAGAGCTGAAGAAATACTGGGGAGCAGAGTCAGAAGGGAATGTCTGTAGTTGATGGAATAAGAAATAGGGTTATTAGCATGGTACTCAATTAATAGTAATTACCAAGAGAGGAACTAAAAATATATATACATATATTGGAAGGACAGAAATAAGTGAACTAAATGTTCATCATAGTAGGAAGTAAGAAGATAGGCAAAATTAATAAATCCAATAATAGTGTAAAAATAGTAGAAGTGTATTGGCAGAATGACAGGTAACTATCATTACCTGTTTTACTAAGATATTTTGGTAGGGTACTATGAAGGCACTGAGTGATTTATATAGGGCTAGTGACGGTCAGGGAACAACTAAGGAGAACCCAAGCTGTGCTTAGGGCTAGGTTGAGGGGAAAGGTTCAGATAGCWCAAAGGAAAGATTACTAGATTTGGTGAGTAATCACTGTGAGGAAGAAAGGAATAAGTATGCAAATATTAATGAATGCAGGAACKGATTGTCAGGAACTAACTGAATAGTTTGTGTCATCCTAAATACATTTAAGTTTGAAAATGTTTGTATATTCCTATTTTCCCACAGAAACATGWTTTTGGTTTGCTTGCTCTGTTAAGTGTGTTTCTCAAATGTTTAATTTTGTTCTATGCATAGGGCATTGTGTTAGACATTTCTGGGGTTAAGCTTTGCTTCAGAGAATAATGTGTCCTTGATATAGAAAGTTTGTTTGTTTTTTATGGTATAAAAAAAAAGAGAAGGAAAAAAATATTTTTTTTCATGGAGGAGCTGAGAATAATTTCCAGTGGGATCAATAGTTCCACCTCTGAGATCCCTTTTGTGAAGGCAGGCTTTCAGTAATTCATCAATGACTATTTCCTGAGCTCTGTGAACAGGGTGGGAAAGACCTTTCCTGGTGGCATTTGCATTCTGTGGGAGAGACAGGTAGGAATGGGCAATTTTCAGTATGGTGTGAGAAGGGGGTTGTATGAGGACAAATATAAGGTGCTTATGAGTCCATGTACTCACTCTGGACTAGGTGTGTGTGGGGGCGGGGAGCAGAGATGGAGAGAGCCATTCAGAAAATGCATCCCTGAAGAAGTGACATCTGAGGGGAAAGACGCAGGAGAGAACATGAGGAGGAGATGAGCATGGCCAGGTAAGCAGGGCTGGTCCTGAAGTTTTGGTAAACTGGAGTAGGGCTTTAGCCTGAGGGCATTGGGACCTGAAGCCATCAAGGACCTGGAAGCAGGGGAATGATAGATTCAGGTTTTTCAAGTTTCTCTCAGACTATTGTTGGGAGTGGGTAATGGAAGGCACAAGACCAGAGGTATGGAGGCCAGGAGGTCAAGAAATTGAAGTCACTAAACTGATATGAAATCTCTGAGCCAGGTACCAAATTTTTCATTGAGTCAGGAAGACAATTGAACAGTGATGAAGAGAAGAGGATGGTTGGCCAAATGGTCTGAATCTCAAAGGAATGCTACTTCTTTTTTTTTTTTAATTTTTATTATTGGTTGTTCAAAACATTACATAGTTCTTGACATATTATATTTCATACATTTGATTCAACCCATGTGATTCTGCAGTCTGTATACGGGGTAAAAATGGGAGTTCATAACCCACAGGAATGCTACTTCTTACCTGTGGGAGAGTAAAGGATCAGTGGCCAGGCAGATGCCTGCTGTCGGAGTGCTGTGGCAAGAGGAGCCAAGAGGCCTGTAGAGTGTTTTCAGGGAGCCAAGGCCAGGTTTAAAAGGCACTACCCTTGAAATCTTCCAGAAGGCACTGTAAAAAATGTTAAGGAGGGGGCAGAAGAGTGAATGTGAGAAGAGAAAAGCACAAAGATAGCGTGAGAATGAACTACTTAAACTCCAGTGACTGGATTTGTAATACATGTGACTTTCGCATATAGAAAATGTAAACTTGCCTTATTATTGCTTGTTTACCTTATTACACTTAGATTTGAGTTTGATATATTTATGTGAAATAGAAAGCCATATGACAGATTGAAAAAAATTACTTAAGAAAATGACTCTAGTAAGAGATGAGACTGTATTTTTAGWTGGTATGTTCATGGGTTTTGTGTGTTTAATTAAAGCTTTAGCTTTCTCTAGACTTCTTCAGGAGAGGAAAGAAGAGAATGGGACAAAGGAGGAGGACAAGGTACAATACTGGTAAAAAGGAAAAATAAACACCTTTTCCCCTCTCTTACAGGTACCTGTTTTTGTTGTATTTAGGAAGATTCAGTTGCTGGCTTTTTGTAGGTCATTTAATTTGGACTTCTTTTTTTTTCTTTTTGTCTGACAAAAAAATAATTCTGACTTAAAATTTCTCCCAATTGTCCTAGGATGCCAGAGAAGAAGTGTAGGCCAGTTAGATCGTGATGCTCTGGTTGTTTAGGAGCTCTACTTGAGGTGTGCTTGATGAATATTGAAGTGAATATTGGAAAATGCCAGAACATTACAGGACTCTGTCCTTATTCTTTTCCTYTTGAACATGTTTTTAATGATTTGGTGAAGACATAGAACTCATAACTCTTTGTAGCTGGACCTTGAAGGGGTATTGGAATTGTGCTCAACATCCTGTGATGGGAAGCTGGCTACAGTGGCTAATCCAAAAAGTTGTTACATGACCAGAAATCTGGAGGAGGCCTGTCCTGAGAGCTCCAGCTGCTTGATGAGTCCATTGGAGACCTGCTCCATAGTCCTAACGCTAGGGTTTGAATCCTTATATCAAGTTTAGGCAGTAAAGCCTCAAAAACAGAAGTGAATTGTTTTCTGTGTAAAGGTACAGAGATAAGACAGCTAGAGCCTGGAATAGCTGTTTTCAACCATGAAGCCTTTGGACTTTCTGCTGAGGAACTCTCAGATGGCTTGCTCACCTATCATCCAAGATAGCAGCTTGTGGGAGGACAGAATAAAGGAAGGGCAGGAGTGTGTGCTAGTTACCTTTTAAGGAGTTTTAAAAGCTGCTGTATAATATTTTTATAGATTTTATTGGCYAGAGCTTAATTACCTGTTTACACCCAAGCTTCAAGGGAGGCTGAGAAATGAACTCTGTATTTCTGGGGCCAAGTATCTAAAATCAGGGTTAACTGGAAGGAGAAGGTAGCCAGSAGTCTTTGCCACATTTTTAAATTAAGTATGGCTTCATCTGTAAGCTTACACCTTAGCTTTGGGCAGGACACAACTAATACTTTAAGGGCACACTGTGAGTGTCACCCAGGTCCCTTTTCTTCAAGGGAACAGTGTCTTTCCTGAGAGTCTTCACTTAGTGGCTAAAACTTGCCACCTGATAACCACAAAAAAAAAAAAAGAAAATCTGAAATTTTTTAACTGGGTATATTGCCACTGGAAACATCTGTTACAGAGTGATAGTCAAAAATCTCAAATAATTGCAACAGAACTCCGTGTGTCCTGTTCTACCTAGAAGCTGATTGCAAAAGGGTCGMAACAAGATATAATTGCTAGATTCATCGGAAGTAACAGAAAGCCTAACCAGTKTATTTTTATTACCATAAGACATCTTTACTAACATACTTTATTTCATGAGCTTGGTAAAAAATGTTCAATGTCACTGCATATCTCTTGACTTTTCTCTCTTGATCTCAAGATAGCTGCTGAAGCTTCAGCCATTACATCTATATGTAAGACAATAAAAAAGAGGAAGGAGGAAGAAAATATAACTTTACTTTCATTGCATTGGTCAGAACCTTGTCACAAGGCTGTTCCTACCAGCCAGGGTGGTTGGATAAGCAAGTATCTGTGTATATCCAGCCCCTGCACACCCCTCACCTCTCCAGTAGAGACTAAAGAGAAAAGGAGGAGAGGGCATTGAATGATCTAACTTATATTGTCTGTCACAGAATGGATTAAATCCTATAGTTGAGTTTATGAAAGTAACTGATTGTACAGTTAGTAATAGACTTGCCAGTAAAGAAAAAAATATGAACCTTTGCCAACCATTAATTCTGTATGATAGTATGCTGCTGCTTAGGAATTAATGGAATTGGTTATAGTGATTAAAAGTGTAATATTTCAGAAGTAACAAGTGGCTCATTGATTATCTATGCCTATCTTAGACTGTATTGGAAATAAGGGATTCTGATGTGCCATAAGAAGTGGGAGTACTCAGTGCAGAGAAAAAGTGGGTATGGAGATGGGGTATTGGCTGAAAAACTCAGCACTTGTCTAGCTGGGTTACTATCAGATTGTGTTACTTCTCATATATAGAGAGATTCCAAAGATAGAGATAATTTTTACTTAATATAAGATTTCTTTCACTTTTACAAAAGACCATGATTCTAAAATGTCTATAAAGCTTTTTGTGTTAAAGCATCAGTAAAAACAGCCATGGCAAATTGCCACACTTAAGTATTGTCAGTATTAAGTGTTGAGTAGAAGGCCACCTACAGGACTGGGATCATTGTGTTGAGATCTGAGAAAAGGCAGTAGTAAGATGCCTTTGAGAGTCAGTGATACAGATAGTATTTATAGGGAATATATTTCTGTCATCATATCTTTTATCTAACCTCTTAGAAGATAAGTATTGAGTTGTAGCTTAAAGAACTTTGATATTCTTAAAATACTTTCCTTTCAAATGTATTAGTTTTCTATTGCTACAAGACAAATTAATAAAGCAACAAAAACAGCAGACATCTATTTATTATATAGACTCCCAAGTTTCTGAGACTCAGAATTGGGAATGACTTGTCTGGATGATTTTTTGCTTAGGGCTTCTTGTGAGGTTATATGATCACTGAGAGAATCAGTTCATTTCCAGGCTAATGCATGTAGTTGTTGGCATGSCCAAGGTGCCTACAGCTCTGAGAGCTTCCAGTTTTTACCCCATGAACTTTTCCATAGGCTATCTGGTTCCTCAGCTATGGCATTTTTAAACTATGCCCAGAGAGAGTGAGAGCCCAAGATAGAAACTGCAGTCTTTCATAACCTCATCGTATACAGGATGTATTATTACTCCTGCCCCTGCTGTTGGTCACTGAGACCAACCCTACTAATGAGGAAGGGAACAGACAGCATAGGATATGAGTGCCTRGAGGAGGAGATCACTGAGTGCCAGCTACCACCTGAAACAAAGATGCTATCAGAATCCACAGCTAAGGGAAGAATAATTAGTATCTGTATATTTTTAATTTTATGAAGTTTATTTTGGTATATACTGACAAAAAAAATATGAACACTAAATGTAATCTAGCACGAGATACTAGATAAATAACAGTCTTTATATAACTGATTTGGATTTTTTTTTCTCATTGTGGAAATAAAATGTATGCTACTTAAGGTTTTCTATTTGTGGATTCCAGGTTGAAGATTCAGTGATAACACCAAGACTTATAGATGCTTGTGACAGATTGCTGCTTATCAACTGTCATCGTAGATTTCTATTTTTCTTAGTTGTTTTTCTTTATTTTATACATTCTTCATCTGTTTGGCCTTTGTAATGGAAGACTCTCCCTGACAGTCTGCCTTCTACTTTTTTAATGATGGAATTTTGTAACTTTATTTTAACAGATAAAAATCTGGATAACGCCGCAGAAGCAGCTGAACAATTTAAATTAATTCAAGCAGCATATGATGTGTTGAGCGACCCTCAGGAAAGAGCATGGTAAGCATCACCTTGTCTTTCCCATCCTCATTTATTTTGTTGGAAGGGATCATCAATATAGGTTTGATTTTTTTTTTTWAATTAATACACTAGATGGTTTCAGTGTGTTCTGAAGCATCTATCAGTTATTCATTATGTAAAATGCAGTATTATGGTAGGAAGGAACTTTGGAGATACTTTTTGCTACTATCTGGTTTAGTAGGTGATTAAACAAAGTTTGGTGATTTTATGTAGTTTTAATTTTTATACTTTAAGTGATTTCTTATTATTTGGTCCCTTTGGTGTATGACAAATTTACTGATGTCCAACAGGAATAAGACTGACTTGTCCTTAAATTAGGTAGATCTGGGTGGCAAGGGGGATCTCACATTCAAGACCAACCTAGGCAGTAAAGTGAGACTTGTTTCAAACAAACAAAAGCAAGAGTGTTTAATACAAGAATTATACATAAAATATGTGAAGATATTTGTTAAGTTTCTATATTTATGACAGATACTTTTACTAGATAATTTAATTTCATTTCTAAATAAAAGTTTCTATGTTTGAAAGTTGTGAGTTTTCAGATTCTTGATTAACCTTTTACAAGTGGTAAGTTTTAAACCYTGACACAGACATGCAAGATCCTGCTGTTACAAAGTGAAGGTGGTGAATGGTGCTGCTGTCTATTGTCTGTGCATTCAGCATTGTGCATAACAGCTGACTCTCAAAGAGAGATTGTGAAGAAAATTCTATAAAATTGTCTTTTATAAGAAAATCAGAGATTCCTAAACTTTCCACTGCCTGAAGAATTTGGAGATCTGGCCTTAGAAATTCTGCTTTCCTCTTGGAACTTTTCAGATTCCTCCCTGACTTCCTCTTGTTTAAAGCCTCTTCTCTAGAATTTAGGTTGTTTTCTTGACCCATGAACTTTCATGTCTTTTTACATAAAGCTCCTGCCTGGTAGCTCTCCTATTGCCTTGAGGCAGTACCAYGTAGTGGCAGGAACCTGATTTGCCCAGTGCAGGAGACCTAGTTTTGAATTCTGATGATACTGTTTGTGGATTTTATGATCATGGACAGTATTTAATATCACTGAAATTTAGTTTTCCATTGTATTAAACAGTGATGATAGTAACTACCTTTACAGARTTAATATGAATAGTAATTATGTATGTATAAAGCTCATAGATTTAAGTTTACTTAAACATAAAAAGAGTCTTATCTTGCAATTTGGTATTCTCAAATTTACTTATGGACCAAATTGTGTCCAATATGTCTTTATTTGTACTGTTTCTTTCCTATGCAAATGCACCTTTCYAGGAGAATCATAGAAATTTACTGGCTTTTTAAATTTCTCTGTTCATATGGGCTAATATTACATAAAGTTAGGAGCTATAGCACAGTTTTTTAAAAGGCTTAAGTCTTTTCATGTTAATATTTCCTTAAAATTGGTTGTATATTGGACACATTGAAATGTATACTGACATTTTGGTTGGTATGTAGTGAGGAGTCTTTTGAATTCTTATTTATTTGGCTTTCACCAACGGTGCCTATTTTTTATTTTTTTATTTTTAAGGTATGATAATCATAGAGAGGCCTTACTTAAAGGAGGGCTTGATGGAGAATACCAAGATGACAGCTTAGATTTGCTTCACTATTTCACTGTTACCTGTTATTCTGGTTATGGAGACGATGAAAAGGTAAGATAAGTGAAAGTCTTAATTTCTTAAGTAAGACTCAAATAGAGAATTCTTAAAAGTATTCTAAAATAAAAAGTGAAGCAGTGTTCATTTTGAACCCTTAAAATTCAGTGCCTTCATATTTACATAAAAACTTCCAGTTGATACTAAATGTACTGGCATTGACCAGAGCTGAATTCTATAAATTTTCAATGTGAAGAGTTTTTCATCTTACATTTTAAAATATTTCTTTGTGATTAGACTATRAAAATATTAAGTATTTGTGTTTCTGATTTTTTTTTTTTTAATTTTAGGGTTTTTACACAGTGTATCGTAGTGTTTTTGAAATGATTGCAAAGGAAGAACTGGAATCTGTGTTAGAGGAGGATGTTGAGGATTTCCCAACTTTTGGAGACTCCCAGAGTGACTATGATACGGTAAAAGAYAAGCGCATTGCATTTTATAATTAGCATTTATTACTCTTTTTCCCAWTTTCTGATTTTTAAAGAAATGAGTCCTAGTCCTGTGTTATGACGACTTCTCTTATCCTCTCTCCTTTTGAAGGAACATGCTGTTCTCTCAGAGCCACACTCTTTGCTTTTTCTGTAAATGGACCATAATCTTTTTCTTTGGCCAGTAAGATTATTTTCTTTTTTTCTTAAATCTGTTGAAGAGTAGTTTAAATCCTTAAAAGGATTGTGCATTGATTAGTGGGATTGCTATATATATATATATGAAAAAAGAAAGTGGGATGTTTTGATCATTAATATTTACTGCTTTTTTTTAAAAAAGTAGAATTTTACCTATTTTCTTTGTCACTAGGTAGTCCACCCTTTCTACGCTTATTGGCAGAGTTTCTGCACCCAAAAGAATTTTGCTTGGAAGGAAGAATATGATACACGGCAAGCCTCAAACCGCTGGGAAAAACGAGCCATGGAAAAAGAAAACAAAAAGATTCGAGACAAAGCAAGGAAAGAGAAGAATGAGCTTGTTCGGCAGCTGGTAGCTTTCATCCGGAAAAGAGATAAAAGAGTGCAGGCACATCGGAAGCTTGTAGAGGAACAGAATGCAGAGAAGGCAAGGAAGGCTGAGGAGATGAGACGGCAACAGAAACTAAAGCAGGCAAAGTATGTGACTGGCTCCTTTCTCAGTTTTAGGAGGGATAAAGGGCAGCATCAGCAGGGACCAGATTTTGGGTTCTCTTGTCATGTTCAGTCATTATTGTGATTTAATCCTGGCATTAGGTAGAATGTTTTCACCCATTATGAAAACATTTTCATTTTAATTTGGGTATTTTTCTTTAGAGGCCCTTTATACTTGAAGTCCTTTATAGATTCTTATAAAATATAATAGTAACTAATGTTAATTGAATTCTTACTGTGTGCAAGGCCCTGTTCTGATTGCTTTCCCACCACAATTCTGTGTAGAATTTTTTTCTTTTTTTTTTTTTTTTTTGTAATTTTACTTTTTAGTCCTAGTTGGACACAACACCTTTATTTCACTTATTTATTTTTTTATGTGGTGCTGAGGATCGAACCCAGGGTCTCSCATGTGGGAGGCGAGCACTCTACCGCTGAACCACAACCCCAGCCCTCTGTGTAGAATTTTTATCCTCTTCATTCTTGTGAAGAAATGAGACAGAAAGCCCAAGGTCACATACCTAGTCAATCACAGAGCTGGGAATCAGATCCAAGTTTACTTTAGGGCCTTGCTTTTAACCACCATGCAACATTGCATTTCTGTTGATATTCTGAGATATTAAGTTCATTTTAGTTTCTTTGAAGTTTTGTTGTTAAGAGTAAACTGTAAACATTTGGGTCCAGAACATTGTAGTATTCTGTTATAAGTCATTCACTTACTAAAAATTCTACTTATTTCACCTGTCATCTTTTGAAGATTGGTATTTTATTTGACACTCAGGACTTAAAGTGATCTGAAGACTTTTTACATTCTGTAAAAGATTTATGTTTTAAAACCCATTATAAAGCAATTAAAACCAGCTAGGTGACAGGTTTCAGCGACTTTGCCAGAGATTTAACTTAAGCACAGGGTTTAGGTTTGTAAGCATTWCAGCTTGGGAGAAAGAAGGTCTCTAGGGGATAGATTTTTAAGCCTAAGAAATGAGTAAAATCCTTGTAGAGATATGCTTGTCAGAGTAAGGCTTTRTTCTGTGAATCTAGACTGGCAGAACAGTACAGAGAACAGAGCTGGATGACCGTGGCCGATTTGGAGAAGGAACTCCGGGAGATGGAAGCACGATATGAAAAGGAGTTTGGAGATGGATCAGATGATAATGAAATGGAGCAGCATGAGCTTAAAGATGGACAAGATGGTAATTTTTAYTGACTAACAAATTTTGGGAAATAAATTTTATTGTGTACAAGGATGTACACTCAGAACACTACAAGTTCCAGTAAAGGGACCCAGGAATTGGACAGTAGGGAAGGGAAAACCCAGAGGATCCTTGAGTTCCAGCTGATTATTGCCAGCACTGTGCCAGAGTTTTCATTCTTTTGTTTGCTTTCTAAGTAAAGCTGGAAATCTGGATTTTATAGAACATCTCCCAATTTTTAATATAATTTTTTWAATTAAAAATAATTGTATGGGTCTCACATAGGTACTCTATTGAAGCAGTCTAGTTCAGGTAGTTTGTTTATAAGTTATTTTGTCTGTAATCTAAATGACTTCCATTTCTGGATGCTTAAATGTAATGACAGGTGAGCATATTCAGAAGTGTGACTGACTGGCCTTTCAAAGAAAATGCAGTTAAACAGTAGGTCAAGTTGTAATAGCAGTTATTTCCAGAAAAACGGGCAAAAGTCTATGTGTGGTATGTATTAATTATTTCTCTTTCTTCTAACTTTGTAGAAAGGCTCCTCTTAGTGTCCCAGAATAATTTCTGTGCCTCTATCATTAAATCATAAGCAAGTGACTWCGCCAAAAGTGAGGTTTTGGCATTTTTGAGAATAGCTGTATATCTSATTTTCCACACTGCCTCTGGCATTTCCATAAATAAAACTAAATTATATAAAAATTCTATAATTTATATAAAAATTATATAAACCAAATTATACTAATTTCACATAGCTGTGAATGTGATTTTTTTCTTACTAGTAGCCTGAACGATAAAATGACAAATTTTTATTCATTCAAAATGATTAGGAAATGAAATGTTTTATTAGTGAATCAGAAATAGTATGTGAAAAAGTGCTTTGAAAATTATAAAGCACAGCTTTATACTTTATAAGGCCTTTTTAAAAAATTTTTATATTTTGTTTTTAGTTATACATGATAGAATGTATTTCAACATATTATACATACATGGAGTATATCTTCCCATTTTTGTAGTTATACAGGCATTACACGGGTTGTGTAGGAAAGTTATATCTGATTCATTCTACTGCCTTTCCTAGTTCCATCCCTCTTCTCTTCCATTCATTTCCCTTTGTCTAATCCAGTGAATTTCTTCTCCCCCGCACACATGCTGATTGTGTGTTAGCATCCACATATTAGAGAGGAATATTCAGCCTTTGTTTTTTTGTGTTTTTTTTGAGATTGGCTTATTTCACTTAGTGTGATAGTCTCCAGTTCCATCCATTTAACAGCAAATACTATAATTTTCCTTTTATGTACAAGATCTCACTTAATCCCCATGAAGTACCCTTTAAATGTAGATTTTGCCAATGGAATCATATCCATTTTACTGAAGAGGAAAGATTGGCATAAACCTGAGATCATAACCCACTTTGAGATGTAGATTTTTTTTTTACTTCAAATCCAGCATTCTAAATTAACTGATTAATTAAAGATTATTTCACRTATATGATATTTTGAAAGTACACAGATAATTGGAAAATAACACCACGTGCAGTAGGTCCCACTTTGATTTTACCTTCCATTGTTTCAGTTACTTTTGGTCAGCTGTGGTCTGAAAATATTAAATGGAAAATTATATAAATAACTTGCTTTAAATTGTGCATTAATCTTAGTAGTGTGATAACATTTTGCACAATTCTGTCTCACCCCATTTGGAAAGGGAATCATCCCTTTTTCCAGAGTATATACTACTCATAGTCACTTAGTAGCCCTCTAGGTTATCAGATTAACTGTCGTGATATCACAGTGCTTTTGGTCAGGTAACCTTTTGTTTTATTTAATAATGATCCCAAAATGCAAGACTAACAATGCTGGCAATTATGATATGCCAAAGAAAAGCCTTAATAAAGTGCTTTCTTTAAATGAAAAGTTGCCTGTAATCCCATTGAAACTCAGAAGGCTGAGGCAGGAGGATCTCAAGTTCAAGGACAGCCTCAGCAACTTAGTGAGGTCTTAAGCAACTTAGTGAGACTCTAGCTCTAAATAAAAAAAAAAAAAAAAACAGTTGGGGATGTGGTTAGTGGTTAAGTGCTCCTGGCTTCAATCTCTGATACCTAAATAAATAAACGTAGATAAATAAATAAATAAAATAAAAGGTGGAAGGTTTTGATTTAAGGAAAGGAAAAAAGTCGTGTGGAGATTACTAAGAACTCAATCAAGTAAGAATGAGTCTTGTAACTGTGAAATTGTGAAGAAGAAAAACAATCCATACTAGTTTTACTATTCAATTTCAAACTGCAAAGTTACAGCCACCGTTTGTGGTAAGTGCTTGGTTAAGGTGGAAAAGGCATTCATTTATATAATTTGGTAGTATCTGTGATTTCAGGTATCCACCAAAGGTTTTGGAATAAACCCTGTGGTTAAGGGGAACTACTGTCCTGGACATTAACCCTAGTAGGATGTATTTTGGTATTTGKGACTTCAGTGAGTAGTTCTTCAGACTTATATTAACATTACTTATAAAGAACCAGAATGTAGAATATGAAAGAGATACCTTGGGATCTTTATTGTTGGTAATAATAAATCCCAAATGGCATTAATTTATTTTTTATTTCCTAAAAAGTAGAATATRGGATTGTTGTTGGAAGAATTCCATTTGAGCTCCTTAGTCACTTGGATTTCATGGGATTACAATGATAGTAATTATTCTGTTTTTAATAAAACCTCAAGCTTATAAAAAGGGCTGTAAAGAAAATGTTTAAACTTTTCCATGTAATATACTGTTTTAAGACCTGTTCACTAATAATGGACTGTGGTAAGCTAAGTTTAAGCTTATCAGAGTAGATCACAGTTGTAAAAAACCTGTGTTGAAAAACCTGCTTTGTGGTTGAATATTAAAATGGCGTTTGATGTTCTACACTGAGTTCCCACTTAGGACTTCACAGATTTTCTGAATCTTCTGAGCATACTTATGAAAAGAATGTATAAAATAGGGTGATTTATTTGAAAGCTTTCATTGCTTTTGAAAGACCAATTCAAGTCCTGACAGCCTTTTGTTTTTGTTTTTATTTTTGTTTTAGATTCATTTATCATTTGTTACTTTAGGTTTGTATTCTAACCAAATAGGATTCTTACCATAGGCTTTCCTCTCTTAGGTAAAGATAGTGATGAGGCGGAGGATACTGAGCTTTATGATGACCTTTACTGCCCAGCATGTGACAAATCTTTCAAGACAGAAAAGGCGTAAGTTTAATATCATTGAACTCACCTTTTCTTTTGAGGTAAAATGTAACACTTTGAATGTCCTTAAAAGACTTTGCTTACAGCAGTAGATACTAACTCCTACTGGGAAGAAAGAAGTTTTTGTACCAGTAGTTAAGCCTGTTGTACCAGTTGTCATTCATCTCAACATTCCTGTGTAATATCTGCTTTTTAAACACACATGATGTTTCCAGAAAGAAGTTCTGCTTGTTGAGACAAGACATAGTCATACAGTTGAGGAGGCTAGACTGCAATCATCTATCCCCATTATTGGCATCAAATGTCCAACCATTGCTGTTCCATGGATGTTGTTAATACCAGCCTAGGAACTTTAAACTTGTCCTSCCAAGAGTCTGTTTACTGAAAGGGAATCACTTCATCTTGTGGGAATAGTGATGAAGAGTGAAACATTAAAAAGGATTCTATCATAAAAGAAGGAGGAGAGTACATGGGAGAAAATTAGTCACACCACTAGGGAAAAGAAGCATAATGCCTGAAAGTAGAAGGAGAGTGAAGGATGAGAATGTGGCAATGTGAACAAGTATTACTGGGTAATGCTAAGGAGAATTGCAGAGTACTAAAAGAAACAGTAAGAGGCAGAAAAGTTAAAAACAAGCAAAAAAMAAAACAAAATGCAGTAGTGAGAGTTTTTTGGAATTATTATTATTTTTTTAATTTGGAAATAATATCACACCCAAAGAAAAGTTCCMAGAATAAAATATGGCATACCCTATTTACTTGTTGCTACTATTTTGCCCCATTTACATGTGCTTCCTCTACTCACATATGCATGTGCACACACACATACAGCTTTTTTCCTATACTGTTTGAAAGCAAGTTTCATATCTACTGCTTTTACCTCTAAATACTTACTGATATAGGAAGAATGAAGATATGTTACGAACMTATAACATTGATGAAGTACTTTTATCTAATTTATTGCTTATATTCCAGTTTTGCTAGTTGATTTTTTAATATTCTGTATAGCACATTCCCTGCTTCCCAGTACAGAATCCAAACTAAGATCATACACTTGATTTATTTGTCTCTCTAGTCTTATGTAATCTGTAATAGTTAACTTATCTTTTATGCCATTTATATTTTGGAGGTATAGTATAACTTTAAAATGTTTATTTCTTGAGAGCCAGGCACAGTGGTACATGCCTGTAATCTCAGTGACTTCCAAGATTTGAGGCAGGAGGATTGCAAGTTTAAGGCCAGCCCCTGAAATTTAGCAAGGCCCTAAGCAACTTCCCCTGTTTCAAAATTTAAAAAAAAAAAAAAAAAAAATTTAAAGGCTGGAAATGTAGCTCAGTGGTTAAGCACCCCTGAGTAAAATCGCCCCCACCCATGGCCCCCCAAAAGGCTTTTTCTTAAATATATCTTATTTAGGATTTGCTGCTTCACAATTAGATTCCAGTTGTGCATCCCAAGGTGGATACTTCATAACATTCTTAAGGGTTCATATCTGGGGACACACAAAGTCACCTCTTCATTGGTGATCATTTTGATTACCTAATCAAGGTGTTATTCAGTTTTTCTATTGCAGAATTAGTACTTTTTTCCCTTGCAAAAATTTTTCTTAGAAACATGTTTAATCTGTAGGGAGAAACCCCCACAAATRTAGCGTCCATTGACAATTTTCATCTTGCATGAGTTGAGTATCGCTAATCTGAAAATTCAGAATCTGAAATTCTCCCAAATCRTAAACAAAAATTTTGAGTGCAGATATAATGCCCAAAGTAGGAAAATTCTGCACCTCTTTATTGCAACGGACCTAGTCAAAATCAGGCACATTGAACATATTGTATAAAATTACCTTCAGACTATTTGTACAAGATGTTTGTGAAACATAGCTGAATTTTGTGTTTAAACTTGGATCCCATTCCCAAGATATCTTATGATACGATATGTTTATTTTGGATAAGGAATACTTGACCTTTATAAGTCTTCCTTGTGTTGGTTGCCAAATGATGCTTTTCTGCTCTTTCTGCATTTATTAATCAGTATTTGGTGTTCTCTTATAAAAACAAGCACCCTCTCTTCCCCCCATTTATCTACCTTATTTATGTATTTATTATTAATTTTCTTTTATTATTGAATTTGTAAATTTTTGTCAGAGTGATCACATATTTATAGATGTGCTCAGAATTCCTTCAGGCCAGCTTCTTATGTCTTTTTGACATGACCTTATCATTTTGAGCACTTATTTATAATACAGTGATTACATCTTAATTTATCCAAGGGGCTTTGTTCTGAAGGAGAATTTTACTTGAAGGAAAAGTARTAATCAAAATTTGGGAAGTCAAAAGTCTGAACAGATGACATGAAGAATTGAGTGACACAGGTGTCCTACTTTCCTCCTCCTCTTTTTCAGTGCTGGGGTTGGAACCCAGGGTTCTTTKCATACAAGGCAAGCACTATTATTGAATTATATCCCAGGCCTAACTCTCCTACATTCTAGTATATCTAACTCTAATATTTTGAGCTCTATTTTGTGAAATGTTTTTTAGTTGCCTGTGGATACATTGAAATAGCATTCTGTACAGTTTCAAACATGTGTTTGAACTTAGATTCAGGGTAGTAGGAGTGAGAAGGTAGACTCCGCTTGAGAAGGTGAAAACCAGCTGTTGAAAAAGCAAAAGAAAGTAAACTACTTTTGTCTTTCAAGCCTTCATATCACTATTACTCTAGGGGTATTCCTTTTGAAGTTAGAATGTGTATCTTTCCATTTTCAGTGATCCCTGAAAGACTGTAGCATGGCCTGAAATACAGAAGCCACTTTTAGCAAATACTTAGTGATTAAAAGGAAATTGTGRAGAAAGCTTTAATTTCAAGAATTGAAAAATACATATATGGCAAATATTTTCTCCCTCTGTGGGGCTTGCCTTTTTGTTCTCATAGTGTCTTTTGTTCAATGTTTTTTTGTTTTATTTTATTCATAAAAATAATATTTTCTTGAAATAAAGGTACAAAATCATGCATTAAGAGAAAATAACAAATAGAGAATTTTGYAAGAAAAGAAGGAAAAAATATATAAAAATCAAAAGGAAGAAAATGAGGGGAGTGCTGAGATCCCAGGGGCCTTAATATCTGGGCAGTCCTGACCAACTTCTGTTGCTCTGTAAAAAAATTCCAAACATATGGCAATTTCAACTTGGTTGCAATCATCCAGAAACTTCCCTGAGAATATATGAACTTAGTACAGCTACTCATATCAGATTCTTCTTTCAGCATGAAGAATCATGAAAAGTCAAAGAAGCATCGGGAAATGGTTGCCTTGTTAAAACAACAATTGGAGGAAGAAGAAGAAAATTTTTCAGGATCTCATATAGATGAAAATCTATTGAATGCCAATTCCGAGGAAGAAATAGAAGATACACCAAAGCAAAAGTACTTTTTAATATTAAATTTCACTAGATATATTTGTCACATTTAGAGATTATTTAAATGCTATTTTGTCTTAAAAATTTTCTGTTATGCTAATATTTTCTCAGTCCCTTATAGTTGATGGAACTTCATCGGGTTGAAGTGGATAAAGACATGATGTCAGATCTAATTTTTACAGAATATGTTATGACAGTWTTAAAAGTAGTATCATACTTAGGCAACCATTTAACCACTACTGCTGTTCTCAAAAGTTATAATATGAATATTTTGCTTTTATTTTTAGTGCTTTACAATATTAAATATTTTAAAATATTTCTTTACCACTAATATTTCATTTCAGTATTTTCTTCCTTTCACTTGGTGAGTTTTCACAAAGTCAACTGTTTAACATTTTTATGTATGTTTGCTCTTATTAGGCTTTCTAAAAAACAGAAGAAAAAGAAACAAAAACCGGCACAGGTATGTTGAAAAGGTTTTATTAACATTAAATATCATTTATAAAGTTACAGAACTTTCATTCATTCCATTTAGCTTGTATTAAAGAGAGTAGGTTTATTCCATAATTTTATATTGCTTATCAAATTGATTAAAAGGAAGTGAAAGTATTTTCTTTATCCCTTGTGTCCCCCCTTCTATATATGTAACTAAATTGCTATTTCAGGTTTAAATTTTTCATATGTATAACTCTCCTAGTAAGAATTATCCGAGTGCCATATTAAAAAAGTGTGGATACATCTGATGATTGGACTTGATTTCAAGTCAACTAAAATCTAAAGCTAAGAATATCATTGTATTTCTAATTTTATTCTGCTAACAACATCAATGAAATATTGCAGAAGGAACATTTGATTAAAAACTCATAATGATATATTGAGAAAATATTTCTATAACTCAGAAGTTTAAATATTTCACAGTTGGTATTCAGAATCAGTTTATAGTATTATTCTTTAGTATTATGGTGTCATTACACATGCCAAACACAAYCTTATGGATGACTCTGGAACCTGTAAAAACTGCAAGCTTGTCCATTTTAGTAATGATATTTGGTAGTTCTAAAGCAAATTGGATTGATTTTGTGTCATTTTAATATAACTTAGTTATATTAGTAAGCAGTAAATGTTTTTTAAAAACGTTTAGGTAATCTATTAATAATTTCTCATAAGTTTAGATTTGGCTTATTTATCCAAATGGTTATAATAATCTATTAGGTAGTTTTTATCACTTTCCTATTCCAAAAATGATATATGGTACAAATAAATCACTGTTTAAATTGTAATTTGGAACTTTTTTTGCTTCAGTTATAAAGCAGCATAGCAAATCATATATTCTTTTAATAAATTTACTTGTACCATCATTCACTCAAAGACCCTATAATCACTAGTTTAGAACGTTTTCTCTTTTCTTTATATGTGTGAATACCACTAGAATAAGGACAGAATTTATAGCAAAGAAGAATTTATATTTAACACAAGCCTGTTATAATTCACGGAGAATGGGTTCTATTGTGTTAGTATTTTCTTAATTGACAAAATGCTTCAAATGACTACTCMATTTTTTTCCTTCAATAGCTAATATTTCTTTATAGCACCTCTTGTTTACAATTTCTGATTATGTTAGGTTCAGATAAGTGTTCTGTATGTAGCACTTTTCCTGGTATTTTCTAAGCTCTCTTGAAGTGGAAGGCAGTGTAGAGACATGTACTGATGGACCAAAGAGAAGCAGGCAGCAAGTAGAATTCTGACACTCCAAATTGGGAAGGTTTTCTGTATGATTAAATAACAGAACAAAACCAGTTGTATAAACCAAAAAGAATTATAAAACAAAGCCCTCGAACCTAAAGGACTAAAACTGAATGTAAATAGAAACAAATGATTCTGACAAAAAAGGATTAGTTCAACTTTTCAATGTGGTTGTTGAGTTTTGAATTTTGAACACAAGCACTTTCTAAACTCATGAGATAATAGTCAAAAGATAAAGTTAACTGCAAAGAAACTAAGTCTTGAATTTAGTTGGGTTTTGGTAGTATTAATAAGGTATTTCTGAAACTCTTTTGTATTATAGGACAGATATAGTGGATAAATATATTATACTGTTAGAAACTAGATTCTCTGTGGTAGAAAAGAAATATAAATTCAAATTAAGGAAAAGAGAGGAAGGTTGGAATTGGAGATGTTGATAGGAGTTCATGATTTAAAACAGCAATGAACTAGAAGTAGTGACATCCCTCGGCATTGAGCAAAGTTAGCACCCACATCTTGGTTTCTGAGTTCCTTTTCTCTGACAAAGAAAGGCAGGCTTGGTTTTTGGAGAAATGGATGATTCCATGACTGAGATAGGGAAGGTGAGCCTAGAACACTTAACACTAGAAACTAAGGAAGTGCTAAAAAGCTCATAGGGATATGTCATCAGTCCTTAAGACCCTGCTTACAGAACTTGCCAATGTGAGAAAATTTGAGTCATAAAAAGAARTAATGGTGATAGATTTTTACATATTGATTTTATTTAAAAAATTCATRTATCTATATTGAGTTTACAAAAAGGTTGGGAAAATGGAAATGGGAAAACTTTATTATAGAAAAATATGAGCTAGTACAAATTTAAGTGGCATAAGTAATAGAGATAGAAAATCACTGTTCTATAATCCCCAGTATAATAAATGGTTCGGGCAAGAATTATAAAGAGATACCAAATGTATTGGATGAATGGCTGTTGTAGACGATTTTCATTGTTTTAGTCAGCTTTTTTTCACTATGACCAAAAAAACCCAGGTAGAAAAATGTAAAGGATGAAAAGTTTAGTTTGGCTCACTTAGAGGAGTCATCCATAGTTTGCCAGCTCTGAGCCTAAGATGAAGTAGAACATTAATGGCAGAAGAGCATGGTGGAGGAAAGCAGCTCAGGACACGGCAACCAGGAAGCAGAGAGAAAGAGCTGCTTCGGGGTCAAAATACAAATCCCTGAAGGCTTATCCCGAAGTATTTTCTTGAGCTACACCCTACCTGCCTGCATTTACCACCCAGTTAATCCATATCAGTGGATTAATGCACTGATTAGGTTCCACCTCTTGTTAGATCATGTCACATATGAAAATTCTTGCATTGTCTTACACATGAGCTTTGGTGTAACTAAAATTTGAACACATTACTTAGTAAATTATAAGAGTCTGTCCATGCCCCTTTTTTTGTCCATGCCTGTCTCACAATGCAAAATGCATTTAGTCCATTTACAAGCATTCCCATAGTCTTAACAGTTTCAGCCTTGCCCAAAAGTCCCAGTCCAAAATCTCATTTGAGACTCAAGGCAAATTCTTGGATGCTTGCTGAGAGCCATAGACGAGTCAAAATATGGCCCCTGGCATTTTGCCAATAATATTGGTTGAGAGGCAAGCCATTAAGATGATGCTGGATTGATTCGGTTGTATATTAGACCTTTACTGTCCGCCTTGGCCTGCTACTTTGGAGTTCCCGCACTTCCCCAACCAATGGGAACTCTCCGGGAATCCCCACGAGAACTCCAGAGTTTTTCAGATTTTTCTGTCTGTTTTCTGCTCTTAATCACAGTAAACTTATCTAAAAAGCTTCTARCGATATCCATGCCACCACCTGAATGCTGATCTGCCTTGAAATTTTCTCTGCCAGAATAATTAGCACATCATCTTTAAATTCACCTTATAAAAAATCTCAGTACATGGGCAAGGTGTATATAACTTTTTTGCCAGAACATAACTTGAATGACCTCTGGTTCAATTTCTAGTAGAGTCTCTTCTTCTGAGACCCCATGAGCCCAGTCTTTACTGTCCACAGTTCTGTGAGCATTCTGGTCTTCTCAGCTCCCACTAGAATTGCCCATAAGCCTACTTATAACATTCTAAAACTTTTCCAGCTTCTATATCTAAACTTTTCAAAATTTCCCCCACCTCACCCCAAAACCAGCTCCAAAGGCTTCTGAACCATGTGGTTGGGTCAGTTATAGTAATGACACTGCTTGTCAGTTACCAAATTCTGTTTTAGTCATCTTTTGAGTAACTGACCAGTATACCCAACAAGAAAAACTGCAAGGAAGAAGAGTTTATTTTGGCTCACATTTTCAGAGATTTAGTTCATGGTCAGCCAACTCCATAACTCTGGGCCTGAGGTGAGGCAGAACATCATAGCAGAAGGGCGTGGTGGAGGATAACAGATCAAGAAATGACGTCAGGAAGCAGAGAGTTGTATACACCAGAAACAAAATATAAAATCCAAAGTTGTGCCAGCAATAGCCTTCTTCCTCCAGCCACTCCATACATGCCTACAGTTACCACCCAGTTAATCAGCATCAGTGGATTAATCCACTGATTAGGTTCCACCTCTCATAACCGAATCATTTCACCTATAAAAATTTTTTTATTGTTACATACATAAGCTCATGGTATAATCTCTAAAGTTAGAATTAGGGATAATATTTACACTTTTAAATGTTTTGTTTTCTAACTATAAAAAATAGTTGCTCATTGCTAATCAGTTAGAAAATATGGAAAAATATAAATACTATACCTCATTAAATTGTGATTGGACATAATATGTAAAATTCTCTCTTCCATTTTTGCTAATATTTTTTATATAATTAAATGAGTATTTTAGAATGATATTCTAAAGGTCTCTGAAGTGGAGCTACTCCTTGCCTGATGTACCTACTTCTCCTTTTTGATTCCTGAAATCTACCTACTAGAGTATATGGGGACATTTATCAATTTATTATAACTATAAGAAATCAGTATTAGATATATTTGTTTTGTAATGGCATGTATATTTTCTCACCTAGAATTATGATGACAATTGTAATGAAAATGGACCTGGAGAAGGAATAAAGGTTGATCCAGAAAATATCAACTTAAATCAAGACAGTGCCAAAGAATTGGAAGATAGTCCCCAAGAAAATGTCAMTGTCACAGAAACCATTGAACCTTGTGATGATCCAAAAAGTGAAGCTAAAAGGTAAGTGAGAGTTGCATATTATTTTCTAATTACTGAATTTGATGATAAAGATAACTTTTACATATCAAAATTTTCTTTCCATGAATGAGATAGGTGTAAACTGTACATAGATATAGAGACACAGAGAGAGAGAGAGAGAGAGAGAGAGAGAGAGAGAGAGAGAGAGAGGGAGAGGAATGAGTCAGGCTTGTTAGAAACAGAATCCTGTAGTACTATGGTCACAGACAGTTCAGCAACATGACCAGAAGCACTGATTCAGTTCCAGTTTTCCTTGCACTGCCCTTGCTTTTATTTTGCCCTTGACATTCAAATGAGACCAAGGCTGCCTTTGAGTCTGTTTCCCCACCCTGATTCCCCTCTAGCATCACCAAGTAAATCTTCATGCTTGGGACAGCATGCTGTGTTCAGCCCCATGGCATTGTCAGAGTACAAGTCAGCAGCTTGGGTCTTCCTACTCAAAGAAACCCKGGAGTCCTGGTGCTGCCAGAATTCTCAGTGGTGGATTAGAGGAAAGTCTTTCTCGGGGAAGAGATCTAGTCCTTCTCCTAGYTTCTTGTCTGACTTCCTTGTCCCCATCCTTATCTGTTCCTCTAGAATACAGAGTTGTTTCTTATTCCTTGAGGAAGGATTTAAACAGTAGCCTCAGGTTTTTGTTCTCTTGAAAAACAGCTAAAGTCTAAGTACAAGAGTAAARTGGCAGTGTAAGTGCCACGTAAGCTCAATGTTGGAGCTGAAGTGATAGGGCAGTGGAGTGCACTTAGAGATGTGGGGAATTCAGGAAGAGTAGTGTGAAAGAGAAACACATGACTGAGGCTCTACGTGTAGAAAAGGAGGACAAGGAACAACACAGCTGGTAGATGCTAGGTGTTTGTTCCTATTTGACAAATGAGAGGAACTGAATCTCAGGTTAACTTGTCCAAAGACAAGAGTTTATAGGTGGAAAAGCTGGCAGTTAATCCCTTTCTGCCTGATTAGTCACTTGAAAGCACCTAGAACATCTGTCTCCATGAGGTTTGAGTGTCTTGTAGGGGATCTTGGGCTGCTTGGTTGTGCAACTGCATTTAATATCATAGATCATCATTACTTCTGACTGGTTATGAAGATGGTTTGCTTTTTATTAAAATACACTGCATAAATATTCAGAGATATTTTAGAGGTATTATTTTTGTTTTTGTTTCAACTATTTTAAGTAAATTACTTAATTTTTGTGCCAAATTTGTTATTTWATTTAATCTCTGCAGGTACTTTTTAAAGCTGCTTATTTGCCATGTGAAGATTAAATTAGCCATTAAAATTAATGAACTAGCCTTTAAAGTACATCTCATCTTTTGATTGTTCTTGAAGCAAGATGACAATTAAAAAGGGTACATTATTTTGTATTATGCTAAATAATTTATTTTCCAGTGTTCCTAAGCCCAAAGGAAAGAAAACCAAAGATGTGAAAAAATCTGTCAAAATACCTGCTGAACCACAAATACTGGTAGGTCAAAACCATATTCACATCTTTGGTGGGTCTTATTTGAGCAGCATAATGTCCTAAAGATAAAAATGTGTATGGGATGAATCCTTCTCCAACAATCTGCAACATGTGGATCCATCATGGTTTTGCATGCTGAAGGCAGAATTTATATATCTACTACTCTCATTTTTTTCTTCTAAATGAGAAGTACATTAGAAATACTAGATAATAGAATAGTTACTATTTTATATTGTGATCTAAACTCTGTATCAAATTCTGAAGATTAATTATAAAGCATAAATAAGTTCTCTAGTCTGTGTGGTGCATGCCATTGAAAATCTCAGAATACTTAGAACTGATGGTATTAGTTGATGAGATTTAAATTCCAGGAATATCTGCTTTCAGTGAACCTGTTTGGTAGCTTTTTTTTTTTTTTTTAAGTTGTATTTTGAAGATATTTGATGTTTAAACACTGTTCTCAAGTGATAACACTTGTTTTATTTATGTTTTGTTCCCCTTCTCAGAATGATGTTCTTATCAGCTGTACAACCTGCCATAGTGAATTTCCATCCCGGAATAAACTTTTTGACCATCTGAAAGCTACCGGTCATGCAAGAGCACCTCCATCTTCATCTTTAACCAGTGTAACAAGTAGTCGAAGCAAGAAAGAGAAACGTAAAAACAGATAGAAATTCTGCCAACACACTTTTTTTTTTAACTGTCTCTAAATTTTGAAACCAAAAACTGAACTGAAATCATCTAAAGAGTTAAAATTTCAGTGATCTGAAATTTATTGCATTGTGGAAGATTATTTTTTATCTTATAAAGACATTTTTTTGTTTAATATATATATTTTTAAACATTTCACTAGTGATTAAATTCTACTTTTGCCATCTGAATTGACTTGAATGTCTCAAAACAGGTAAATATTGTAAAGTATGTACCTTGATTTTTCACATGAACAGAGATGTACAGGGAGAATTAAATTATTTTAACACAAATGCCCCTTTTTCCTTCATTTTGTGAATTTCACAGTATGTATTTTTATTTGTTTATTGCTTTTAAATTTTGATTTGTAATCTGTCAAAAACTCAGATCGTTTAAAAATCATCCTAGGTTTCTTTTCCACCTGACACCGTGACTCCAGTTCTGACTTTTAAATTATTTTTAAATAAGCAATTGTCAAGTACTCTGTTCTTTTTTTTTCCTCAAGGACAATGATAGGTGGGAACTAATTAAACATGTATGATTGTGTTTCAGGAATAATATCTTAAAGCCTAGTATGGTGGTGGCACACTTGTAATCCCCACTACTCAGGAGGCAGAGGCAGGAAGAGGGGTCATAAGTTAAAGGCTAACCTGGGCAATTTACCAAGACCCTGTCTCAAAATGAAATAAAAAGGGCTTTTGATGTAACTTATTAGTAGAGCACTTGCCTAGCATGTGTGAGGCTCTGGGTTCAACCCTTCGTACTGCCAAAAAAAAAAAAAA